GGCGGCAGCTGTCAGCAGCCTGCGGGTCAGCGTCCGCTTCCTTTCTACTAATGCGGCCACCTACTTCTCCCCGTGCCAGCAGGCGCTAGGGTTCAAACGCTCATCCAGGTATTTCTACAACATCCAACGGGCAAAGCCTGTGCGACACAGGGCTTTGGGTAAGAGCCCATACTGTCTGTCCCTTCCTCATGCCGAACAAAGGAGGGATGAAGTAAACAAACCACCCAACCAAGCCCTCTTGTGAAGAAAGGAATCACTGAGGAAAAGGGATCGCTAAGGCTCACCTTGTCAAGGTTAGTGTGCCAGAGTAACACTTCAGCTTTATAGATGGAGTTTTACATACTTCTCCATCACAAAGTTGAGAATCAACCATAAAGGTCAGCAGCAGTTAAAATACCAATTAACACTTCTGACTGAAAAATGAGTCTGCCTCAATAACAACTGCTATCTCATTTTGTTCCCCAGTAAGGTGGCTGTTCCCTCTGGAGAGACATACATTTGTCACACTTTTCTCTTACCCTGCTATCAGCACTTTTTCTCACTCAGTCTTAGAGCAGAAGCATTTCCAAGTCACATTTATTTTCTATAGGAAAGAGAACAGGGAAGAGGGAAGAGCCCCGTTTTTAAAGGTGCTTTGGAGCAAGGGCAGCCTTTCCAAAGGCTGAGTCAATGGCTTTTAGGGTGGTGGCTTGGGAGAAGGAAATGCAGCAGGAAGATGGCAAAAATTAATGAATATAAACAGGTAAGTTCATAAGCTTTCCATAACAAAAGATCCAGAAACTGATTGGAACTGGCCCATGCTGCTGCTCTTTCATTCACATTTAATTGCACCATCATTCTACAAAAGGCTCTATTTATCAGTCAAAAGATTTACATGCTATTAGACAAAGAGCACTTGCTGGATGGTTCAAATAATCAGACAGTTGTTGCTGATTTGCACACTATTTTTACCACTGGATTCTAACAATTTTATTGTTTAAGCTAAAATATAAGGGGCAAAATGGCTGTTTTAAAATGTATTTTCATCATGTATGTTTTCTTTTTAATCTGCAACTCATACATTCCACTACAACCAGGAGTCTCCTGCCGGAGCTGACCTATAGGCTTTGAATGCAATACCTGTAACAGCTAGCGTGAATTTCTATTCCTTGAATCTACATGACATAGCCTCTGATGAGGCTTATGCAGGCCTCATTCAATTGTGTTAGAGAATCTGCATTTCTTTTTTCTGGAAAAAATGTAAGCAAGCTCATGTTTTTACTCAACTACTTTCTGCTGGGTAGCCCAGGATGGCGTAAGACTCTAATCAGACTAGTCGCATATAGTTCTTAATCCTCTTCTGAAAGTGACCTGCCCAAATTGTGAAAAACAGCACAGCCCATTACAGAAATCCAGATGCAAAATCAGTGGCTTTGTAACCCCACTCCAGACCAGTAATGGCAAGTAAACCTCTACACAGGATCATGTCAGTAGTTTGTAACTTACTACAGAAGCAAAGAAAACTCTGCTGTCTGTACCTCTAGAAGCTTAACTAATGTTCCAGCAGATATTTTTCAAGGCAAGCAGAGCTTTTAAATAGCATTTGATTCATACTTTTTGTGATAGAGTAGCAGCATATGGAAGCATAACTTCTATTTGCATATGCAAGAAGAAAAAAATAAGCCAATAGAGCTTTAAAGAAAACCAAGCATGGAGAAAACTAAAAGGTAAACTAGAAGTCTGTTAGTAGCAAACCAGGTGATATTTCCCCCTGTGCTGCTCTCTAGAGTTACATCCACAAAATGCATAGTAAATCATGCAATCATAGTAAAATCAAGAAATCCTGGAAGGAAGAGGAGGCTCTTGCTCAGTATACAGGAACTCTTATCAAGAATTTCTCCACAGATGTGGTTTAAATGCAAAGAAGATCCCAAAAGTTGATGTTTTGGAGTCAGTGTTGAAAGGTGTTTTGTTTTTATTTCATCACAGAAACCATTTTTCCTGTGGAACATTTTATCACATTTTAATTCAGCTCACAGATACAGTTCTCTACTGATTTTGCTTCTCCTATCCATTGTTATGGGTTTGTCTAAACAGTGGATCTCAAACCTGAGACCAGGGGTCCCTTTTTCAGCAATGGTTTGAAGACTCCCTCTCCTCTCCCCACCACAAGTGAGTATCTGGCTGTTGCCTCCCCTTCCCTTTATCACCACATCTCTACTATCAGCACATAGTGGTCTGGGTTTACCACAGAATCCTGCAAGTGGTATCAGGCAGACAGGCCTTGCCACCTGAACCTCTCCCAAACCCTGGCTTTCAACAGGAAGCACCTTGCATCCTCTGTCAGAAGCCCCCCCCCAGAGACCCCAGTCTCCAATTTCCACCCAGCACCTTTTTCTTCCTTCCCTCGGAGACTCCAGAGTAGAGTTGCTTTTCTGCCTTTATCTCAGGTATGTTTTAAGGGAGAAGGCAGCTGGAAAGGAAGGGGAATGTCTCTTTGAGAGCCATCACTTCATCTGACATGCAGCCTCACATCCTATGGGAAGGAGGGACAGATGCACGCATGTGCAAAGTGGTACACACCTGGGGCTTCTCCACTTCCAATCTGATACCCACCCCCCCTTCAGTTTGACAACCTCATGATGTAGTCCGTAAGAAGAACTTCCCCACTACATGATTTTTTAAAACATGGAAGAGATGAGAACCAGCAGAAATTTATCTGGATCAAGGTGTGCAAGATCCCTAAAAGAAGAGAGGTGAAACTAAGCCAAAAACATGTTTCTAATCAACTCAAACAATTTGGTACAAAGATCTGTTTATTACCCAACAATGTGACAGTGTATATACAAAGACTGTGTGGAATGTGACATTTACAGGAAATTTCAGTACATCATGCACAGATACTATTTGCAATGTTACTTTAATAGGTCCAGAATGTTAAGCTGAATAAATATTCCTTGCTTCAAAAAAATCATTTTTACATAAAAATATATATTGCACTCTTTACAAGGCCAGCAATTTTGCATATTGATTTGTAACAAGTGGAATTCTACTTTATAAAAATAAGCCTTTGTGAGCAACACCCCAAACCAGGGAGCACAACAGCACCCCAAAACCACAATATTTGTATTTTTTTCCTCTTAAACAAATCGCATCACTTCAAGATGAGCCAAGAAGCTTTTCAGTCTGTATTTGGACCTTACATTAACATTTAGACAGTGAAAAACATGACTAAAGCCATCCCATACAATGCTGCTACGATATACGCAGTTTAAAATTCATTTCATACAGTATGCAGACACTTGCTTAATTGAACCAAAGATCAGCCTTTGTCATGGACTATGAGAATATTTTGTAGTTTAGTATCCATATGTCACATGAGCACAAAGATACCTCAGCTGGGTATCTTTGTGGATAGTTAGTCTGAAGTTTTTCTTGTTTGAAAAGTTCTTCAATCAGGAAGTCACAAGAATTTCTGAAGACTGTTTGGAATTTTCTAAAGTAGTGTAAAGATTTCTTATGTGTATGTCATCTTCATCACAACTTGACAATTTCATATACAGTGCTTTGAAGGCAGATGAACCTTAAAAATGAGAAGATATAGCAGTTCATCTGTATAGCAACAGCAGAACATGTCAATGATGAAAAAGCAAAGCAATTTGAAAGAAAAATGTAACTACATCAAACTTGTGTAGCATTCTTGTTTTACCATTCGCATGACTAGTAGGTACTCATTCATGGTGTCAGGTTTAGAGGTCTTCAAATCCATCAACTGAAATGTTAATTTTTTATCTGGCCTAAGAATTCAAATTTGTTAAGCCTTTCACAATGGAGGCTTATTTTTTTCCCCCTCAAAAATAGCACCTAGGAATAAATAACGTATTCGCACAGTGTATCTGTGTAAACTCTTCCAAATCACCTGATGCCCTATAAACATTGATTATTCAAGCAGTTAGATTCAAAGATTTTACAATGTCATTGAACTTCAATGACACTAGAACAGGAGCACACCTGTGCCACCTTTAATTTTTTAGAGCTCTGGAAGATAAGCTGCATATGTCTATAATACATGTTCTGCCGCAGAACTGCAATAGCTAGGTGTTACAAAGTTAGGGAGTTAACTACATTAAAAAACAAAACCAAAGTGTGATCTAACTATTGCTTCATAGTGCCATGAGGTGTCAAACCCATCACTAAGACAAATATTTTATTTTTACCTGTTATAAAGACTATTATACTAACAGAGAAGACAGCAAAAATTACAAATATAAAGGTAACAGAAATTCAATTTTCAGCATTACGATACCATAAGATGGTGCAAAAAGCACCTACTAAGTTCTTTGCTTCTCAAAGAAAGCAATTTTAAGTGGTCTTGGATTTTTCAGTTTTGGGTTGCTTATCCCAGAGCTAACTATACCACGTTCAACTAATGAGATACACATATGCTGATATTTTAATAGATATTTACAGAACTTTATGCGGATGATATTTTACAACATAAGAGGGGGAATAAGCATTATCAATTTTTTTAAATACTTCTGTCCAAGAAGTGATTTAAAAAAATACTATTATGTTTTATATTGCAGCATTTTGACTTGTATGTTAGAGCATTTATGAGTCACTGCTGGTATTGGAGTATATGACCAGAGCTTTCTGGTGACCTGGATATGCGTCAGGTTTGTGCATGCACATCTGCAATTTTACAACCACCTTAGACTCCTCTTTTTTAAAATCTATTCTGTCCTTCTATAGACATTCAAGATACTTCAAAATCCAGTTAAATAAGAGATTCTATGATCTGTTTTGGATTTAAAGTGCATCAGAGGCATGAGTTAGCAGCAAAAATAGTCATCACCCAGCCGCATAGCTGCTAAGGAATGAATAGAACATGGGTAACTTCAAGCGCTGCTGGTCCTTGCGACACCAAGCTATAACATTTCCATCGCTATTAGCTGTGAACAAGTGATGCCCATCACAGGAAAACGTAAGGCTGAAAAACAAGAAAACAATCTATTTTTACATCAGATTTGGCTCTTTAAAAATCCTAGAAGACATTAAAAATCTGTAAGACTATAGCCAAAGATTAGCTCTCAGGCAAGACCCAATGAGTACATTAACATCATATGTTTGCATACACTCGCTTTTTAATTTTTGTAACCAAACAGGCTGAACTACAGCTTCGGCCCGCACTTCAACATGCCATGCAGTTTCGTACTCATTTCTTTGCAGCAAAGAAAAT